GTCTGAAGCCGGAGCTGAAAGGTTTGGATGACGCCATCAAGCAGCGGCAGAGTCTGAAGCCGGAGCTGAAAGGTTTGGAGGACCCCATCAAGCAGCAGCAGAGTCTGAAGCCGGAGCTGAAAGGTTTGGAGGACGCCATCAAACAGAAGCAGAGTCTGAAGCTGGAGCTGAAAGGTTTGGAGGACGCCATCAAGCAGCGGCAGAGTCTGAAGCCGGAGCTGAAAGGTTTGGAGGACGCCATCAAGCAGCGGCAGAGTCTGAAGCCGGAGCTGAAAGGTTTGGAGGACGCCATCAAGCAGCGGCAGAGTCTGAAGCCGGAGCTAAAAAGGTTTGGAGGACGCCATCAAGCAGTGGCAGAGTCTGAAGCCGGAGCTGAAAGATTTGGAGGATGCCATCAAGCAGCGGCAGAGTCTGAAGCCGGAGCTGAAAGGTTTGGAGGACGTCATCAAGCAGAAGCGGAGTCTGAAGCCAGAGCTGAAAGGTTTGGAGGACGCCATCAAGCAGCGGCAGAGTCTGAAGGTGGAGCTGAAAGGTTTGGTGGATGCCATCAAGAAGCAGCAGACTGCAAAGCCCCCACCCCCTTCCTTCCCTTCTACCATCACCAACAACATCATCCACCCCACTCTCTCCACTCACCACAGCGGTCCCCCCGACCTTCACCCCAACACCCCCACCATCATTCACCCCCCAACGCCTTACGCCCTCTAATCCTCAGACGCCGGGGAGCGGGGAGCGGTGCAATCATACACACTGGTCCAGCTTCCTCCACAGCCCCCACTATCTGACACAGGAGGATCTGACACAACATCCACAGACACTGAGTCAGGGGGCACAACACAAGGAGATGACATATTAGATGGATCTTTAGACACTGGGACCACAGGGACAGAGACATTGGGGACTCCTGGCACAGCCTCCCTCTCCTCTGCCTCCTCCATGTCCAGAGAAAAAAACTCTTCCACCAAAGCTGACTGGTTATGCATGGCCTCAGGGCACCGGTTGTACGATGGCCAACCTTATCACACACATTGCACCTGATGATGTTACAATCCTTAGCCAGATGCCCCAACTCCTGACATAGGGAGCACTTCATCTCTGGACATGAGGAGACCAAGTGACCCCGAGAACCAGATGCCCCAGATCCTGACACAGAGAGCACTTTATCTCTGGACATCAGGAGGCCAAGTGACCCCGAGAACCAGATGCCCCAGATCCTGACACAGAGAGCACTTCATCTCTAGACATGAGGAGGTGAAGTCACCCTGAGAACCGCACTTATTGCAGAGCTTGGGCTGTCCAGGGTAGAACACAACAATCCTATCCTTCCCAATGAAGGCTGAGGAGGGCAGATGCTGGACCACATTTCCCACACACATACAGCCTCATCCACACCGACCACCCACCAATCCATATCCCTCTCTCATCCACACCGACCACCCACCAATCCATATCCCCCTCTCATCCACACCGACCACCCACCAGTCCATATCCCTCTCATCCACACCGACCACCCACCAGTCCATATCCCCCTCTCATCCACACCAACCACCCACCAGTCCATATCTCCCTCTCTCATCCACACCGACCACCCACCAATCCATATCCCTCTCTCATCCACACCGACCACCCACCAATCCATATCCCCCTCTCATCCACACCGACCACCCACCAGTCCATATCCCTCTCATCCACACCGACCACCCACCAGTCCATATCCCCCTCTCATCCACACCGACCACCTACCAATCCATATCCCTCTCTCATCCACACCGACCACCCACCAATCCATATCCCCCTCTCATCCACACCGACCACCCACCAGTCCATATCCCTCTCATCCACACCGACCACCCCACCAGTCCATATCCCTCTCATCCACACCGACCACCCACCAGTCCATATCTCCCTCTCTCATCCACACCGACCACCCACCAGTCCATATCTCCCTCTCTCATCCACACCGACCACCCACCAGTCCATATCCCCCTCTCATCCACACCGACCACCCACCAGTCCATATCCCTTTCTCATTCACACCCACCAACCACCAGTCCATATCCACCTCTCATCCACACCGACCACCCACCAGTCCATATCCCCCTCTCATCCACACCGACCACCCACCAGTCCATATCCCTTTCTCATTCACACCCACCACCCACCAGTCCATATCCCTCTCTCATCCGCACCGACCACCCACCAGTCAATATCCCCTCCTCATCCACAATCTTCTTTAGAGGGGTCAGTAGCTCCCCAAATCTCTTCAGCCAGACAGCTAAGTCAGCAGAAGGGATCGACTCATTCCTTACTAGGATGGTGACCGTATTAACTAGTTGGCGTGAGACAAGCCTTGGGATGAAAAATGCTTCAAAAACGCATATGCATTTTTTTAATGCGTTTTTAAAAACCGGGGGAAGTGTGAAAGTAGGCTAAGGTGCTCTCACGGTGGCACCTTTTTCCAGGACCGCCTCTTCAGGATGTATTCTGGGACGTCCGGGAAACTCCAACGCAAATGCGGCAAAAATGCTTCAAAAATGCACGATGCGTTAAAACGCCTATGCAGTTTTTAATGCTTTTTTTAATGCGTTTTTATACAGGGGAAGTGTGAAAGTAGGCTAAGGTGCTCTCATGGTGGTACCTTGTCCAGGACCGCCTCTCCAGGGTGTATTCTAGGTGGATTATACCTCGTTTTTTCTTTCTATTTTATTGTTGTGTTTTTTTTCTATTCTATTCGAATGCGTTTTATTCAAATTTATTTTATTCGAAATTCAAATTTCGGAAGACAGCTATATTCTATTCTATTTAATTGATTTTTTTTCTAATCTATTCTATTCAAATTTGAGTATATTCTATACAAAATTAAAATTTCGGAAGACAGCTATATTTTATTGATTTTTTTTCTATTATTTTCTATTCTAATCCATTGTATTTTAATTTGAATTTATTCTACTTGAAATTCAATTTTCGGAAGACTGATATATTCTATTTTATTCTAGGCTATTTTTTTATTTATATTGTATTCAATTATTTTCTATTCTAATCTATATCTTTTATATTGTATTCTATTTTATTATTTTTCTATTCTAATTTTTGTTTTTATGTTCTATTCTAATCTATTCTTTTATGTTCTATTCTGATTTGTTACCATTATAATTTTGAAATTTGGATACATCCGAATAACGGAAAATTTATTTGAATTTCGATTCAGAACTAAATGAACCACACATGTGTATAAGTAATGACCGCGCCATCCCCCACACGCAGAGAGAGGAGATCATGTGAATTGAACAGTGTGTGTGTTTTTAGTGTCACTTTCAGTTCTTTCGGTCATGGAGGCTGAACATTACAGGTGGGCATTACTTCAGGGCAAATGTAGTCTACCTGGACATGCCCACTCCTCCATGCTGACATCTACTGATCCAGACATTTTGATATTTGCATAACTCCTCCCAAGAGGAGGTCTGCTGCTTACATCGTGCCTAAAGGCTCTCTAGGTGAGTACTGAGGCACTTCTCTATGCATTGATGGTGAGAGGGGCCGGCAGGGTGCTGTGCATAACTTCCTGAAAACGCCACAGAACCCTTCTGGCCCCTCCCACCAGCCATGATCTGCCTGCATTGCATAGAGAAGCACAGGGAGCCAGTGATGACATCCAGGACCATGCATAAGGGGGTACCACCAGCCCTCCTGTACAAGGCCAAGGCCAGCAGGGGGGGGGCCCAGACAGCTGGGTGAATTGGATGTGGGCAAGGAGGGGGATCGGCATGGCGGGAGGCAATTACTGGAACCGATCCCCTGTATGGCTCTCTCTGCAGCAGCTGAAAGCCGGCTTCTTCTCCTCTACCTCACGTTGGCTTTCAGCTGCTACAGAGAGAACCATACAGGGGATCAATTCCAGTAATTGCCAATACCCACCCATAAGTTTCCCCCTGCTGCTCAGGCCTCCCTGTGTGCCCCCCCCCCCCCCCCCGCAGTGCTGCAGACTTCCCTTCTCTCCTTCCCACCGGCAGCTGCAAGCACAGAATAGGATCCTTCATGATGGAGAGTGGGGGAAGGGTCCGGTGAATATGTCACATTTACCAGCCCTTACATTTATGAATGAACACAATGAGTGACCAGTACTGTTCACTCACTGTGTTCATTCATTACTGAAGCATAGTAAACTGTGTTTTTTGGGGGGGGGTTGGTGGTGAGGGGGGGTGGGGCCCTGTCAGATTGGGGTGGGGCCCTGTCAGATTGGGGTGGGCCCTGTCAGATTGGCTGTATGGGGCCCTGTGGTTTCTAACACCCCTGCAGTGCTGCCGGCTTCCCTCCTCTCCTTCCCACCAGCAGCTGCAAGCACACAATAGGATCATTCATGATGAAGAGTGGGGAAGAGTCCGGTGAATATGTCACATTTACCAGCCCCTTACATTTATGAATGAACACAATGAGTGATCAGTACTGATACTCACTGTGTTCATTCATTACTGAAGCATATTAAACAGTTTTTTTTTTTTTTGTTTTTTTTTTTTGTGGTGAGGGGGGCCCTGCAAGGTTGGCTGTATGGCTGTACAGCAGCAGCCCTGATGACATCACCGGAGCCAGATATTGGAATAATATTTTTTTTATAAAAATGTCAGAACAGTACAGATATCCCCCAAATGTCAGAACAGTACAGATATCCCCCAAATGTCAGGACAGATATCCCCCAAATGTCAAAACGGTACAGATATCCCCCAAATGTCAGGACAGATATCCCCCAAATGTCAAGACGGTACAGATATCCACCAAATGTCAGAACGGTACAGATCTCCCCCAAATGTCAGGACGGTACAGATATCCCCCAAATGTCAGAACGGTACAGATATCCCCCAAATGTCAGAACAGTACAGATATCCCCCAAATGTCAGGACAGATATCCCCCAAATGTCAAAACGGTACAGATATCCCCCAAATGTCAGGACAGATATCCCCCAAATGTCAAGACGGTACAGATATCCACCAAATGTCAGAACGGTACAGATCTCCCCCAAATGTCAGGACGGTACAGATATCCCCCAAATGTCAGAACGGTACAGATATCCCCCAAATGTCAGGACAGTACAGATATCCCCCAAATGTCAGGACAGTACAGATATCCCCCAAATGTCAGGACAGTACAGATATCCCCCAAATGTCAGAACAGTACAGATATCCCCCAAATGTCAGGACAGTACAGATATCCCCCAAATGTCAGAACGGTACAGATATCCCCCAAATGTCAGAACGGTACAGATACCCCCAAATGTCAGGACGGTACAGATATCCCCCCAAATGTCAGAACAGTAGATATCCCCCAAATGTCAGGACAGTACAGATATCACCCAAATGTCAGAACAGTACAGATACCCCCAAATGTCAGGACAGTACAGATATCCCCCAAATGTCAGAACAGTACAGATATCCTCCAAATGTCAGGACAGGACAGATATCCCCCAAATGTCAGGACAGTACAGATATCCCCCAAATGTCAGGACAGGACAGATATCCCCCAAATGACCTCTTTCTGCAAAGTAGACAGTCCGACGTACTTCATAAGAGGCATTGCGAGTTTTTTGGTTGTATTTTTTTGTCATTTTTTGGAATATGAAGAAATTAAAAAATTATTTTAACTATTTTTTTTTTTTACATACTGTCACCAGTGCAGTACAGCGTCATCATATAACTGGTGTGTCAGTGATCAGGGACACTGACTGGTGACAGTACAAAAAAAAAATGTTTTTTTTTTCAATTTTTTATTAAATTTTTTTCTCTTTAATTTAAGATTTTCTTTCAAATTTCACTATGACCAAAGTACTATAATGTTACCATAGTAACATTGTACTACTTTGGGGAAGTGATCAGTATTTTTTTTACACAATTTGCTTATAGCAAAGAATTACTTTGCTACAAGCAAGCATTTACCTGAATGAAATCAATTCATTCAGGGTTTTTTGTGATTAGCTGTGATTTGGCCACGGCTAATCACATGACACAGCTGGACTGTGATTGGCCCAGCTTGTGCATGTGCTCACTGTGACCATTCACAGCTAGACACACTTGTATACCATGGATGGCATGAAAGGAAGCCATCCATTGTATACAACTGTCATCTGACCTGCTGTGATTGGTCACAGCAGGTCACATGGTACTGGCATAGATCTGTCATCAGCTGTGTCCGAGGTACACAGTTGGTGACCGATCTCGCCGCAGCGTGGCCCTGCGGGCATGCGCAATGCGCGTTATGGAAAGGACACCATATGGCATCCACCTGGAGGGACAAGCTGTTCGCCCGGCTGCCATTTGGCTATAGGTTGGGCGGCAACTGGTTAAGGGCCATTTCACGCTACCTGCGTTTCAGTTGCTTTTTTTCTGCATCCAAAAAATGCACAGAAAGTAGGTTATATGGTTGTCAATGTCATAGTTCACATCAGTGCTTGCAGTTCCAGTGCGTTCCGGATGAAGAGAAAAAAAATAGAATAGGCTGCATTTTTTCCTGCACAGAACCGCACTGGAATTTGGTAAAACGCAATAAAAAACACACCAAATCACACCAAAAGCGCACTGGAATGCACATGTCCCTAACTAAAGAAAAAGAGAGGCGGGAAAAATGAACAGGAATGCATAAAAAAAAAACACACTGGGTCACATAAAAAACGCACCAAAATGCAACAGCATGTGCCAAAAACGCATACACAAAATTGACATGCCGGAACGCATCTGGACTGCGTTTCTATGGTGTGAACCAACCCTAAGAGCTATAGCTCTGGCTTAGCAAGGTTCTTGTTGGATCTCCACTCAGAGAGCAAGCGGCCTTCTCTACGGCATGCTGGCAGAACATAGGCTTCTCTACTCAGGCTGTGGCTGCTTTCGAAAGAAAACCAGCTGTAAAATATTGCACATCTTTTGTTTCGATGCACCTGGGATGTTCAATTAGCATTTACATTTAGTGGTTTTCATGTATGGCGGCATCATGATTTTATTCATTTCTGCTTCCTAATATCGAATATTAAAGAATATTATGGAAGTTGCTGAATCAGCTGTTGTGTGTCTTGCAGGAGACAAAGTGGTCCGCGGGGCTGAGCACAGTTTGATGCAGATAGAGCTTCCTCTAGATCAGGGGTGGGCAACTGTGGCCCTCCAGCTGTTGTAGAACTACAAGTCCCATGATGCATTGCAAAACTGACAGTTACAAGCATGACTCCCAAAGGCAGAGGCATGATGGGACTTGTAGTTTCACCAACAGCTGGAGGGCCACAGTTGCCCACCCCTGCTCTAGGTCATCCTTATTCTTTCTTAGCCTAGAAAACTCAACAATCGTTTCTTGTTCAGCTTTGTTGGAATAATGTGGAGAATGTGTTCTTGCTGGAACTGTAACTAATGACTTGATAACAACCTGTTGTCACAGTTTTAGAAGACATAATAAAAGATTGTACCATATGCAGTCTGAATGAAGATGGTGGATGCACCAAGGGGTTCATAGAGGGTCAAGCTCAACATCCTGGGGGTGTTGTATGAGCCAATGAACCTGCTCAGGACCATATTAATCCACACAATGGGACCAATGTTTGCAATGTTAAAGGCAATTCACCGCTTATCCAAGTAGCTTTCTTAATTCTAATGGGTGTCAGGAACACACTCCAATATTTTGATGGCCGAAAGTGGACACCACTCTAAATGATTCCGTTGAGATGTTGCAGGTGAAGGGTACTGTTAGTGCTACAGTCTGTTAGTGCTACATACCAGACTGTTGCATACTTATAACCTTGTGGCAACAGTTTAGGAAATGTTTTTTGGAAGTCTGTTCTGGCATGACCGAGCTCCTGTGGAAAAAGCAGCCCTAAAAACACGACTTGACTAGTTTAATGTGGAGGACCTAGAGTGGTATTCACAGAGCCCGGATCTCAACCCTACCGAACACAGAGCCCTGACCTCAACCCTACCGAACACAGAGCCCTGACCTCAACCCTACCGAACACAGAGCTCTGACCTCAACCTTACTGAACACAGAGCTCTGACCTCAACCTTACCAAACACAGAGCCCTGACCTCAACCCTACTGAACACAGAGCCCTGACCTCAACCCTGCCGAACACAGAGCTCTGACCTCAACCTTACCGAACACAGAGCCCTGACCTCAACCCTACTGAACACAGAGCCCTGACCTCAACCCTACTGAACACACAGCCCTGACCTCAACCCTGCCGAACACAGAGCCCTGACCTCAAACCCTGCCGAACACAGAGCCCTGACCTCAACCCTGCCGAACACAGAGCCCTGACCTCAACCCTGCCGAACACAGAGCCCTGACCTTAACCCTGCCGAACACAGAGCCCTGACCTCAACCCTGCTGAACACAGAGCTCTGACCTCAACCTTACCAAACACAGAGCCCTGACCTAAACCTTACCAAACACAGAGCCCTGACCTCAATCCTACTGATCACAGAGCGGTGACCTCAACCCCACCGAACACCTCAACCCTACTGAACACAGAGTTGTGACCTCAGCCCTACTGAACTCAGACCTGACCTCAACCCTACTGAACACAGAGCCCTGACATCAACCCTACTGAACACAGAGCCCTGACCTCAACCCTACTGAACACAGAGCCCTTACCTTAAACCTACTGAACACAGAGCCCTTACCTCAGCCCTACTGAACTCAGACCTGACCTCAACCCTACTGAACTCAGACCTGACCTCAACCCTACTGAACTTAGACCTGACCTCAACCCTACTGAACACAGAGCCCTGACCTTAACCCTATTGAACACAGAGTACTGACCCCACCCTACTAAACACAGAGCCCTTACCTCAATCCTACTGAACACAGAGCTCTGACATAAACCCTTCTGAACATAGAGCCCTGATCTCAACCCTACTGAACACCTCAACCCTGCTGAATAGAGGGCCCTGACCTCAATCCTACTGAACACAGAGTCCTTATCTCAACCCTACTGAACAAAGAGCCCTGACCTCAATCCTACCAATCACAGAGCCCTGACCTCAACCCTACTGAACAAAGATCCCTGACTTCAACCCTACTGAACACAGAGCCCTGACCTCAACCCTACTGAACACAGAGCCCTGACCTCAACCCTACTGAACACAGAGCCCTGACCTCAACCCTACTGAACACAGAGCCCTGACCTCAACCCTACTGAACTCAGAGCTCTGACCTCAAACCTAATGAACACAGAGCCCTAACCTCAACCCTACTGAACTCAGAGCTCTGACCTCAAACCTAATGAACACAGAGCTCTGACCTCAAACCTAATGAACACAGAGCCCTGATCTCAACTCAAACATATTTTGTTCATATTTGATCATCAGCTGAACATATTTGGGATGAATTACACCACTGATTGAACCAGGTCTTCTCTTCCAGCACCTGACATTAACAATGGGCACACGTTCCCATAAACACAATCTTCTTCCTAGATAAGTGGAGGCTGTTATAGCTAAAAAGAGGGACCAACACCATATGAATGGACAGGGTTTTGGAATGGGACATCCAACAAATACATATACTGTAGGTGTGATGGTCAAGCTAAAATCATTATGCACCCATATTTTAAAATGTCACTGGAGTTACCTATCTGGACATCTACAAATGATAATCAAGCAGGATCAGCAATAAAGTTTGCTAAAATCCCTACAAAAGGACCATATTCCCCCCCCCCCCCCCCCCCCAAAAAAGTGGAATTGTACTTTAAACATTTTTGGCCTAGACAGTTAAAAGAGAGCTCAGTGACAGCACATCTAAGAAAATGAGAAGCTTGAAAATGAGAAGTTTGGACTAGTCTCAATGGCTTTGATGGCAATAGGGAAGTGGAATTTGATACTTTGCTTTTATTAAAACTTTCATATACCGTGTCATTCTTCATAAAAGTGGAAATGTGAAAAAAATCTACTTATAACATGTAATTATAGCAGGATAATAAAGCAGCTGGATCCTTCCCTAAATGCCTTGTGCACCAATGTAAAGGAGAAGAAGAGACAATTATGCCATATAATTTAATCTCCATTAAGTGGTTTAATGTACTTCCAACAAGCCACTCATTACTGGGAGGCAGACTGTGAAAATATAGAAAAATTCACACTGGAATCTTGCTAAAAGAAAAAAACTGAGCATAACATGGGCGGTGAAAAAAATGTACACCCTTTTCTAAAATGTTTTTGTGATATCGCATAGAACTATAGAAGAGTGGCAGCAGAAAAAGACGTAGTGGTCCATTGAGTCTACTTTTTTTAATTGTTTTGTTACTTTTTAACTTTTTTGTATAAGTAGAGATCAGTCTTCTCCAACCTTTTTCAGCAGTGAGGAACCCTTGAAATAATTTTCAGGTCTCAGGGAACCCCTGATAAGAATTTATAGGCCTTGGCTGGTCTTGCCGTTTTGGCCCAGGTTCTATTCCATGTTGGGTACACGGCAGCCAGACACACAGCAGTTCCCCAGTCTCT